GTCCTGTTGATAAAATGATAGAATAGTAGCAGATAAGTTTGAAAGTTTCCCTTTTGGGCAGCCACTGAGACATTTTTGACCATTGGTTCACTTGGCTCTGTGCCTTTTCAGTCAGATACTGCACAGACACCGAGGACATGGATGAAAGAAGGGAATGATCTAAATTTCAGATTGTAAATTCCAAAGGATTAGGAGAAAAATATCCAAACTGGTTGTTCCACTGGTTTCCCACAAGATAGAAAAGAGGATTAGGAGAAAAATATCCAAACTGGTTTCCCACAAGATGGAAAACTTTTGCTCTGTCTTCTCCAGGAGCACTATCTACTGTGATGCACAGGATCTTCCTGTTGAGAGCAGCAAATTATTTAACCTGCAATTTTAGCACCCTTCTCGCAGGTACTTAGCAACAAAAGGCCATAGCCAAAATCATTGCAAAGACTCCTTGGGAGGCCATTGAACAGCCAGGGATTGTCTGTACTAAAGGTAAAGTCTTGGGCTTGCGAAGAAATCCTGTGAAAAATATTCCTCTGAAAAGGCACCCAAGAGATCCCAGTGAAAACATCGAAGCAGACTGGGAGAAAGGGTTTTTTTGGTGCTGTGTCTGTCATGGCTAAAAACAGACTAGATACACAAAAATACACTTCAGACTGAGTGCTTGAAATCCAAACCAGTAGTAGGTGTTGTGGCAGCCAGAGAGAACAGGCCAAAGAGCTGCTTGTGTCCATAATGTTTATAATAATATAAATGTATATAGATTATGCCTCAAAACACAAGTTGAGATGATGGAGCCTGGTCTACAGACTGGAGAGAGCTGGATCACAATCACCCAACATTACCTTAAGCATGGAAGAGCTGCTTAGTGTGTTGGTGCTATTAAATATCTTTTTTCACTGTCTAAATGCATCGTTTAGCTGGTCATGGTACTTGTTCAGCAGAGGATTTATTGCATAGAAATTACAACAGAAAGGAGAAAGAATGCACTCAGTTTTGGGTGTTTGGAGTAGCAAAGGTCTCTGATTTCTTCAGCCCTGTGCTTGTGTCTGCCTTCTGTCCTCCTTCTGATGGGATCTCTTACCTTGCAGCAGGAAATTGATAAAGCCGTGTTACAGCTCTGAAGGCTGGATGGTGCCAGGGACAGAGGTTTGCTTTGATTTAGTATTTATTTTGTATTTGTTTGAAGGAATAGAAAGGTTTAATTACAGTTATTTATATAGTCCATGCTGGGGAGGTGTTCCCTTACAGATTTTTGGTGGTATCTGATATACTTGTTTTTTTACAAAAACCCTCTAGAACCTTAAATGAGGAGGACAGCTTATATACGAGGAAGAGGTAAAAAGAGGCAGAAAATAAATTTCTCTGTGGGCCAACTCCTCTGTCTCCAAAAACCCACAGGTACAATGAGAGAAGTTGGGAAGAGAAAGTAAAAAATGGAACCAAGTAATAACCAAATATTAAAAAAAAAAACAAAACAACAACAACAACAACAAAACAACAACAAACCAACAACCAACCAAACAAAAAAAAACCACAAAAACCAAGCAAAAAACTCAAGAAAATATCTATATCCAAATCTCAGAAATAGATTTCATTTGTTCATATTGCTTCCTATTTTCATTTGACTTCCTTGGCAGGTAGCCCATTGCTCCATCAGTGAGAGGAAAGGAAGTTACAGCATTGCATTGTTGTAGGGATTGGATTTTATTGCTTTGCTGTTACAATTAGGCAACTATTAACTCAGTTAAATGAGGCACAATTTTTTTTTATAAAGTATGTCCAAGTGGGAATTGTAACTTAGTCTCAACTAAAGCCCTCAAAAAAACTTTAGGAGAGTGAAAGAAAGAAATTAAAATTAGCTAAATAATAAAAGATGATACAACTTTAAAGAGGCACCCTGGAAATGGGAATAATTGTTGGTAATTAGCTAACAGCCAGCCTGAGGGGAAGCTGCAGGTCAAAAACCTGGCAGCAAATATCCAGCTTGGATCTGCAAAAAGCCACCCAGATAATGCAGAAAAGATGGGGACAACATGTCTGCAGTGAAGGTGATTTATGGGGGAAAGAATCCCAGACAAACCCAAATGGGATTCACAGAGTTAAACTTGGATGGCACAGAAAGGGAAAGTGCAGCAAGGCACGCAATTAATAGTGCAACGACTGAAACTCTGCCTTGACTCTAAAACATCTCCTCAAGTCATCTCCCATCCCTTTTTTTTGGGATTTCTGGGAGGTTGGGCTGTAAGACACGGAAGATGGGGAGTTGGCAGCAGAGGGAGGAGAGCTCAGGACGATGCTTGGTGGGGACAGCAGGGGACAGCAGGTACCAGGGAAAGGCTGCAGGAGGAGGGGGCTCTGCCACACAAAAACTCGGTGGTTTGTGCCCAGTTTTAGCCTTTTAGCCTGCACGAGCTCTGACAGTAATGAAAGTGAAAAGAGCGAACCACCCCCTGAAAATAAAATGCTTCAAATAAAATATAAACTATTCCTAAGGACAATTTCCTGATGGGTGGGGAGGGGGAACGACAGGAAAATTGACATCAGAGTTGTTTATTTGAATCCCTGGTCAGACTGGTGCAAAACTACCAGACCTCCACTGTTTGTTTGGTTGGTTGGTTGAGTTTTTTGGATTTTTTTTTTTTTTCATTTAAACAAACAGGGTTTAGCATTTATATGTTTTCTACTGGCTTCACTTCATCTCAGTGCCTTAAAATAAAATGTTTTACTCTACCCTCCCATGAACACATTGAGACTAAACACTCTTTTTTTTTTTGTTCCTACAGGCCTTGAGGCAGGAGAAGAAGCCAAAAGCCTGCTCCCCTAAATCCCCAAAAATTAAGAATAAAAAGCTCTGGTTATTTCACACTGTTTTGCAAACATACATTTCTTTAAAGGGCTGGAAGCTAAACTCAGTATTAATTACAAATCCATGGTGAGTAGACCCTCACTTTACTGAAGAAACTCAAAAACTGAGCTTTCTAAAGCTACTGGATAAAAGAGGAGTGGAGATAAAGGATATTTCTCCCCTTACATGGGGAGCAATAGAGTAAATTGAAAGACTTCTAATAAACCTCAACTACCTTCAAAGTGATAGATCAGTGATGAACCTTAGTTGCTGAATTTAATTAAAAATTAATAATGGAATTTGCTAGCCAAATGTTCCCTTAATGATGACTCTAAGTCATTGCTTGATGGCAAAAATTCAAAGCAGAACCTGGTCATGCACTAAAGTATTTGTCTGAGTGCATTTTATTTCTGTTTCATAATTAGGAATCTTAACAGTCAAAAGTGATTGATGCATTCAGGATTTCAGAGTCTGTGGGATTTATAGCATTTATTATATTTACATTTTATATTTATTATTTATTTGTAGCATAGATTATAGCAACAAGGGACTGGTGGAAGTACTGACTATTCTCTTTGAGAAGTCCTGGAGCCCAGGCAACTGGAGAGGAGCAAAGATCAGCCTGGGCTTTAAAGAGAGGAGAAAAGCAGAGCCAGGCAATTCCAGAGCAGGTATGCTAACCTCAAATACCCAGAAAGATTTTACATATTTATATATAAATATATATAGCAGCTGGAGGATTACAAGGTCTTAAGAAACCAACTCAGATTTGTCATGAATAAACAAATCCTGTCAAACTCATCTAATTTATTTCTGTGGCAGGATAATCTAAAAAGTAGTGGATGTGATTGATCTTGTCTTTACTAAGACTTTTGGTGCTGCCCCCTTTGACATTCTCATGAGCTAACTGGGGAAATATGGGCTATTATGGAATAATTTTAATGTGGAAGCAGAGTGAGCTGAAAAATCCCATGTACTGAGTACTCTTCATTTACCAGAGGCTCTCTGGCCATCTGAAAAGGATCATGAGGAAGCCAAGGGAAAGCTGCTCTTTGTGTTTGTGCTGTTCACCTGTGCATGAGTAACCTTCATGAACACCATGTGCCTGTTTGTATATGGGAATGAATCCAAGCTGAGGGAAATATCTTTAAAATAAAGAACTTTTTTAATTGGGAAAGTAAAATTCATTTAGGAATCCCAAAGGATTGGACCAAGGACTGAAAAAGGAACTGAGTGCACAGCCATTAAATGGAATTACTGACCAGGCAGTGATGGTTCGGAAAGGAACTGAGGCATTAGAGCAGCTCAGAAAATGAAAGGAAGTCAATAGCATGGATATCCATATGAATTAACAGAGGTGGCACGTGTCAGACTGCAGAAATAGTTCTCTGATTTCACTTGGCACTGCTTGGGCTTTTAATGGTGCAGATATCTGGGTCTGGGCATCATCCTCGGGAAGAAATGCAGAGTGGAAAAACACCACCTGGGCAGCACTAAAAAATCCCAACAGGCATGTTGAATTTATGGAAGTGATTATCAGCAATTTACCTCTCCAGGCTCGATGATCCTGATGGGTCCCTTCCAAATCAGCACATTCTGGTATTTTGTGGTGGTGGGAGCTGCCAGGCAGTTCCTTGTCCTGCTGTTGTTAAGTGAGTGCATCCTGCTGCCCTTCCAGAGCTGGCTCCATTAATTAATCAAATTAATACAATTTTACAGTAAAAGCAATAAAAACACCAATAGCCACCGTGCCCTCCAGGATCCAGAGCAAATATAATGTACCAGCAAGGCCACAGGGACAGACACAAGCTGGGGCAACACAACTGCTGAGGTGAAACCTATTCACAGAGAAAATGGTTTGCACCATTATCTGCATGGATTAGATCCCATCAGAGCCCTGGGGCTCAAGCACAGCATCAAACCCCCTGTTTGGAAGGTAAAATGACACCATTTATCCACCACAGCATGAAGCATTCTGGTGGCAGGAAGAACAAGGGGCTTCCAGTCCAGCTGTGGTCATTTAAGGACAGGTCCAGCTCTAGGTGACTTTTCCTGTGATTCCCTTTTCTGTTGAACACACCGAGACAGAATGCCACCCACGCCCCAAAAAAGAGGTATGCTACATCCACATTCATAAAGTTTATCAACTTACAGACTCCAGGACAGGTATATCATTCATTGTTTTTCACCAGTAAGCAGAGTAGTATACAAAAGCATGCAAAATCAGTTATGGTACAGAAAGAACCTGTAAAATTCAAGAAACTGGCAAGCATCAAAACCATTCCTATTTTCCTAGGAAGAGGATTCCTGAGTTGTGTATGTTGGCATTTTCAAAGACCCTGTACTTGGGTGAAGCACACAGAAACAACATGGCAGGGACATGACAAAACAGGGGCAAAATATTAACTAATACAGATACTCAGAGGCAAGAAATGATCATGGGGTGAAATTACAGTACGTGGTGGGCTATTTTATTTTGTTGAAAAGTACATCTTTGACTGGATTGAACATATTAATAAGATGAAAATAGGTCCACAGGCGAGGGAGGAAAGAAAGCAAAAGTTTGGAAATACTTGACACAACTAAAATAAATGACAGCTTTTTTCAATATCCCATAGGCAGGCTGTAGAAGATGATGTTTTCCAGTATCCATGGAGAAAGTAAAGTCTTTGACTGATGTAAGTCAGTTTTGCACAAATGCTGGTCTGTTTAGTTAAAACCTGCACTGCTTGTTTCTTTTAATAGATAATATAGGTTATATCTAGCTTTCACTCCAGACCCATGCTTTAACACTCAGAATTTATCCATATTTAATTACAATTTTATCACACTAATCAAATAAATTTACTTTGTCCTCCAAGCAATCACCTCAGTATTTCAGTATGTAAAAAATACTTTCATTATGTTTATTATAAAAATATAAATGTTTCCACTACAAATCATTTTACATTAGTAAGAGGCCATCTACAATTGCACAATATATAATCTAAATGAGTAAGTAATGCTTTTGAAATACAAGTTAAAGTAAATACATATTGCCAATCAAATCACATCTATACATTGCTTATTGGATGCTAAGTTACAGCACGAAAACTAGATTATGTTAACAGAAATAAATAAAATGGAAACTATATTGAAAGGTACAAACCCAATAATATGGCGTGTCATTTTATGAGCAGTTTGCATTTTGCTTGATGTCCATAACCTGTACAGGCAGATGGCCACACGACCTCTATTTCTCTACTCCACACTGAAGAATTGTACACTGCTATGTTTACATATGTACAGGGGGACGGGGAGTACAGGATGCTTGCAACAGAGGCCACTTACAGTACAAATCAACTTCTGACAGGGAGAGAAAACCAAACGGGTTTTAAAAACTCTCAGCTCCTAACAGCAAAGAAAAGCAAAATCCAGCTGCTTCATATTTTTTTCCCTGGGTGAGACTGAATCTTTTATGCTGAGCATGCCTGAACAGTGGGCAAGAACACGACAGGAGGAAATTGAGGGTGGTTGGTGCAAAGTTTTCAAGTGTCTAAAAAGCTAACAACTTGGGTCTGAGTCTCCAAAAGCATCTCCCAGAGGTCAGCCCCCCACCCCAGCCCCTTGTCCCCACACTCCAGCAGCGGGGTGCAGCTGAGGAGAAATGTCACAAAAAGCTGTCCCACACAGACTGTTTGCCACTGGGTTTTGGTGGCTTAAATTCATTAACAGAGTCTGATTTAGAGCAATCTCAACATAAAGTAATGATTGATTCTGTCCAAACTAAGCAACACAAAACAGCTTTTCTGTCCAGCTTACTGCATTTCATGATAGATTGGGGCAGATAAGGGAAAGTGTTCTTTACAGCTTAAGTGCTTTATTTTACCTTTCTTCCATTTTTCTTTTTTTTCCTTGTGTTTAATTTCAATTTTAAAACCCATTCACTTCTCTTTCAGAAAGAATTACTAATTATTATGCTGTGAGTGTGTTTCAAACCCAGTCCTTTACAGCGTGCTCACTACCAGCACTCATGAAAAGGCCTCTAACACTTCTTCTCTTTAGCAATGTGTGATACATGTTGTGACTGGACATTTTAAAGTCCTGGATTCATGTAGAACAGTTTCAGCCCCACAAACCTTAGAAACTGATTCTTTCCTCTCTTATATACCAAGGAACTTCAAAACCCAAGCCAGAAGGAAGCACAAGTGGTCACCTGCTTTTGCATGCACAGAGAAAACACAATTTGCCATTTTTTTCATCTGCCTCTCATCACACAGTCTTGAATTCTTAGGGATTCATCGTCACAATCAGGTATAGATTCCAGAACATCAAGTTGGGAAGCAGAATGGTTTCCCCTGGTGACCAAGGCCTGCTCTCTGTGTGCCTGGCATCATGTCTATAGCATTAAGAAGCACAAGAAATGGCTCACACTGTGTTTTAAACCACACATTTTCACAGCAAAGAGTGGTGTCTGCTCAGAACTGGGATTGATGTGCTTCAGAACAAAAACTTAGAAGTTGGGAAGCTCTTTGGAAGATGCTGGAAAGGGTTTTGGAGGGCCCCCAAAATCCACCTTTCAGTCTCCTTTTTCCAGTGGGGGATGAATGTTCCCCTAGACTTGGGCTCCCTTCTGCTTTCTTTCAAGGAATAGGTACCCACTGAAGCTGTGCCCAAAATTCAGGTCCCCTACAGGATGACAGTGCCTCTGCAGGGGGGTTTCTAGCTCAGGCATATGTAAACTTCCACATCAAAGCCTCACTTGACAGCTCAAGTCATCCTTTTAAACAAGGGTCACTTCCCAAGGAACTCAAAAAGCATCATCAGTTAAAGGAGGATGCAACAAACCCTGGCCCTCTTTTGTATTTTCTTGGCAGATCTCTCACCTGAACACCACCCAAGAACAGGAAAATTATTGTGACAGGAAAGCAGCCTTGGGGAAGGAAATGGGATGTGCTGTTTGGGGCAGATCCTGATCTAAAGATAAATGCACACACCACTGAAAAAACCCCAGCCTGGGTGAAAATACCACTCACAGCAAATGGAAGAAATCTCATTGCAAAGAAGAAGTCCAGATGCTTTTCATAGTGTCTGTGCTGGAAAAAAGGCCACCTTTCTTTCCTTCTGCATTCCATGCATGGTGCTATGAGTATAAAATCATCTAGTAACTAACCCTCAGACAATTTCTCAGGTTGAACCAATGAAGTTTGGATAACATTTGGCACTTGGCAATAATACAGCCAGGTTAAGGTATTTAAGCATAAATATAAACAATAACGGAAAAAAAAACCCAACAAAACAAGAAAATAAATAAGCCTTTTAAAAATTAAGACTTGTTTCTATTTAAATGAACACAGTTAGGGAAGCTAACATAATGGTGAAAATCCTTTGTCAACTAACTCAAAGTTACTACAAACTTTATTTCTGTGTTCCTTCCTGAAGCTGAAATAGCATGTTACAATGACATTATAGTAAATATGGCCAGACAGGTTGTGAGGTATAGTCCTCTATTTTCCTTGCTTTTAAAGAAATAAAATACCTGTTACAGATCTCTTCTGTATAAAAATACTGCAAGTCTTTCTTTCTTCTTGTTTGCTGTATAGATCAAATACACAGCTTTTATGTCCATGGGTTTTTTCTGTTATTCAGTCACTTAATATTCAAATGGCTCTAGGTTTTAGTAACACTGGTTTTTACTTGGAAGGATTTTTCACTTTTTTTTTTTTCTTTTGATATTTACTATCTGCATTAACAGTCAGTCAAGAGCACCCACCCTTTAGGATTAACAGATAGAAAACAAGTTTTCTCCTATTTTTAAGGCATTTATATTCAGTGTTTGAGTGTCTTGTGGGTTTGAAATCTCAACCATTGCGTTTCCAAAGCTGTTGCAAAGAACTCCTTTAAATTCTGCCGTTTGTCAGCCATCACTTTTCACCTGCCATGCAACTTTGCTCCTTTTTTTTCTTTTCCTCTCCTGAGCAACATCATTTTAGTACCTTACACAGGAACAGGGCTGTTCTTTGTATGAGTTTCTAGAGCTTTGATACTGCTGACAATCTTCTTTTGAGGGCCCACCACTGTGACGCCAACTTTCTTCATGTCACTGGAAAAAAGAGGAGGTGTGTGAGTGAGGACACTTGAGTTTCACAGCTCTGAAAAACAGCAATGAACCTGCCCATCTCACACTGCTGCATGGCAGGAGCCTCCAGCTACAGGGACATTGCTGAAACACAAGCCCTGCTGCAAAAAAACACTGACAACAACTGTCTGAAAACACAAGGGGGCTGCAGAAAAATACAGTGAAAGCTCATTTAGCCTTGTTGTGGAAGAAAACATGGAAAAAAAAGCAATGAAATAATTTTCCAGTGATGCAAGCACTGGGGTTCTGGAGCAAGGGGGTCACTGCTGGATCAGCTGAGCCTCTCTAACACCTCCATCCCCCACCAATCTGATGGCTTTTCCTGGGCAGTGACACATCACTGGCCTCTGAAAGGTCCTCTGAGCTCTGCTATCAGCACTGAGGTGAAGGAGTCCATGGCCAAGCTTCCAGTGTCTGCCCTGGTTCTCCCCTCCTGTTTGTCCAGGATCTCATTGTTCCTTGTGCAACACAGAGGTGCTTTAACACCTGTGAAGGGCTAATTAACCAGGGGCTCACAGGAAATTGGGCATTCCTAGAGGATTTCTACACTGTCCCCAAAGGGTAATTGTTACAAAAAGCCATTAGCACCCTTTTTATAGATGCAGTAATACACTAATTAATGGCATTGATGTGTTTAATTATTGGTAGCACAGCTGCTACATACTTCTCCATAACTTCTGTATCCAGCCAGCCCAACTGGGAATTAAGATTTCCTTTGGCATTAAATTTTTAACTGTACTTGATGCCTTTTCAGGTGCAGAAAGAACTCCTACTTGTCACTGGAACAAAGATGGATTGCATTTAGAATGTAATAAACTTGCCATTTGCTCACTTCCAAGCATAGCAGGAGGGAGTTCAGCTCCTAAGTGATTATTAGCATGGAGGAGGAAAACAGCTACAAAGAATTTGCCCCTTCACCTGGTTTAGTGGAATATGGGATGGGCAATAAAGGGAAAGATTGACAATGAACTGGCTGTAGAGAAACTGCCATGTAAAATACAGAATTTAAAGAATCAACAGAGAAACTTCAGTGAAAGGAAGTGATGCTAGTGTACCAGATGATGCATGGTGCTACTGTATTGAAAAAAACTGGGAATTTCCTTGTATTTAGTGAGAAAAAGCTGTGGGACCATGGCCTTCACACAGTCACTAAACACAGATTTCTTAATGGCCATTTCAACTGCAACAAATAATTCCCATTTGTCTCTTTAAATGTAAGAAAATTTTAGCTAAGAATTGGGAACGCCGTATAAAAGTGCTGCCTTTGAGCTCATGTTTGAACTTGTAGCTGTGATGAAAACCCACAGCAAACTGCAACTTACTCTGTGGAAATCTTGGCTATGGTGTCACAGGAGCTGTACTCCACCCCTGTGAAGATGTCCTTGCACTGCCCTGTCCGAAATCCATTGAGCCAATCACCCGTGGAGCGGAAGGCTGAAATGTCAACGTTGCTTTGGTCCAGGAGGAGATTTGATGGCCTGAAAGGAAAGAACAATGCAATGGAATTGAGGGAACAGAGAGAAACACAGATTTATTTTGTGTCTAAGCTCAGTAGTGGCAGGAGCATCCAGGCTGGATGTGGCTTTGCTGTTTGTGGGAATTCTCAGCTGCTGAGGCCACCACGGGACTGGTGCTGGCAGCTCTGACAAATGCTGTGCAATCATCCTCCTGAGGAGCAGCAGCTTCCCATGCCCGTGTTTAAATCTCTGCAGCATTTACAAAGTGCATTGGTACCTCCCAATTTAATGTTAACATGGACTAAATTAGGTCATATTTATATGACTCACTGAGTCTCAAACATCAGACAATGCACACTCCAGGCTAAAAGATGAGTGTGTTGCTAGAATTTTGTCATATCAAATGTTCAGAATGTTGTGGCCCACTGACAAATCCTAAATGTTGCTATTAAGTTAGAAGCTTCAACAATGAGCAAAGTACCTTATTTTTATTGTTTTATTGCAGGCTTACAGCCAAGCATGTGCTTAGCTGTGCTGTGCCTGAGACTGAACTAGACAATGTTCAAAGCAGTTATCTCTGCAACTTCACAGTCTATTTTCTGCCCCAGAATTCTTTTTCCCTCTAGTAACCTGCACAGGAATCTGACTACTGCTGCTGAACCCATTTGAAGTGACTTTTGTCCCCGAAAGCAGTGAAAATGAGAGGTGGCTGGACTGACAGCATAATTGAAAGGCAGTGATTACACAGTGTAACAGGTAGGTGACAGCTACTGGAACTGGGGAACTGATCTGGGTTGTAAAACACTCTCTTCACTCCAAACCCAAGTCAAACATAAAGAGGAGGAGATTTTAAAGGCACCAAGAGAACCACATATTTAAACATAGTGATTTTAACCTCATAAGAAGCCTAGAAATTCTGAATCCTTCTCAATTCCAGTATGTTTTAAATTTCACCAAAATCAGCAGCACTACAACATCACATCCTTGCAGAACACCTGACTTGCCCTGTAGTCAGGGGATACCACATCAGTTACATTAAGTAACATTACTTACATCAAGACTTTTACCTTTCACTTTTGAAGAAAAGAACAATGACTTTTAGTATTGGCCACATCTGAAACAGCTCCTTTTATTCTGATGTTTTCCTGATTGTTATCAGTCAGCTGATTTCTCTCAGGCTCAGAAAGTTCATATAGTATTTTTTCCCTTCTGGGAATGCAGGGCATAATTAAAGAGCTACTTGGATGCTTGAAAATCTTAACTCCAAACACACACAATCAGTTTTCACCAGGTCCCAGAGCTGAGATGTCCCTGATGGGGACAGCTTTTCCCTGGCTACCTTCCCTCCAGAGCCCAGCCAGGACTGTGACCACTGACACCAACTCTGGACTTCCATGCTGGGAACAGCCACCCATGGAAAGAAAAGCAACAGAAGACACCAGAAACCTGTTCTGTCCCCAAAACATGTGCTGGTGTCATGGTGAAACCAAATCTTAGACACCCAGCTTTAAAGGCTCAGTTTGATAATCAGGCCCAAGATAGTTTTAATCAGTAGCTGTAAGGCCTGAATTTCACTGACTACTGTTTGTCCTGTAAAAAGCCAATGTTTTGTTATTTATAGTTTTCTGGGTGCAGTGCCTGGAATCCCAAGATATTAATTAAGAGTATTTATGAAGTGTTCTTAGTGATAAAGCACAGATTTTTTTTTCCCCTGCCTAGTACACCTTTTTAACTTAAGTCTAATAAAACAAGGTCTGACTCAAGAATCACTAATGAAAAAAAAAGTATAAACAAGTTGAAATAGAACAGATCTCTAGGATTAGGAATTAGAGTGGCCCAAAAGAGCCTTTATGTTTATTACTTGGATCAAAGTATCATCATGACAAAAAATATGACCTAATTTTAATGCGAGTGACCTCAGAGTAACCAGCACTGTAAAGTATCATTTTTCTTCTTGCAGGATTCCAAACAAAAATTAGTTACTTTCCTCCTCAGAGAGGACATCTGGACTGTTTATCAAGGAGCAGGAATTCGCCTCGCTGCGAAGAGCCTGTGCTGTCTCCTCGGGAGCACCAGGGGAAAGCTGGGCTTGCAGAGCATCTGCACACCCTGGCAGGTTTTTTCCCCCTGCCCCAGCCCCTGGACAGAAGGGCTGAAGAGGGAATTTATGGTCTGGGTGATGTGTGCCATGAGCTCACACTTTAGCAGACAAATTAGACGGGCTGCAGTCCGTGCAGCTGTAAACGACGTCCTGCAGGGCTCCACCTGATCCTTTACAGCTTTTCATAAATCAGTACCTACCAGCTTCAGGAGAGAGTCATTAAAAAGAAATCATGGAAATTACATGTTTGCTCAGGGGAAGTGAAATAGAACATTTCTCTCCATCTTTTCTTCTCTCTCCTCCTTTTTATTTTCTTTTTCCTTTCTTTAACTCTTTTTACTTTGTTGCTTTGACTAACTATGATACACCCTCTCATATCATCTTTTGACAGTCATGGCAAGATTTTCTACCTTGTTCACCCTGACTGTTGCTGTATTTATTACACTTACAAAGTTGTATTTACTGACATGTGGTGCCCTGAAAAAAACAGCAAACAGCAAGACTCAGTTTGGAGAGACAAATTGAACAGTGAGATGCCAGTTACAAAACATCCTGTGGCTGGAGGCTTCCTCTGGATGTGTCCATTACTTTAACAGTTGGAATTAACCTTTGAGCCATCTGCAGTGAGGAGAACCAAGGAGTATTGTCATTAACACAGCTTTTTGTCACAACACAGAGAAAATTTTGCTGCACAAGCAAGAAAAAACATAGAAAACATCATTAGAACCCTTCCCAATACAGCATGAATATCTCACCTCTGGTTGTCTGCCATGTGGGGAGAAAAAGAGACAAACTAACTTGTAAAATCCAGGGATTGAGACAAAGAAAATGAAAATGTCCTACCACTTCTTCTGCAAATACACATAGGAGCTGTGCACACACAGTGCCAGACTTTGTGCTGTAGGAGCCTCTCTCTTTCCATCCATTCCTCCAAACAGCAAAACCAACCTTCAGTTTTTTAAATCTGGACTTTCCTCTCCACAGTCAATTTCTTTTAAAGAGGAAAGCATTAAAAAAATCCCCCCAAAACATAAAGTAATTTCCTGTGGCAAATTTTAGGTAATTAAATGCTGATTTTGTAAAGTGAAATTGCTCCCAATGAGCCTGGTTGGAACTCAGATCCTATGGGCTTTATGATTATGGTGAGCTGAAGCACAGAGTGTGGGTCTAACAAGAATTTTATTTCAAGAGAAAAATAACCCCAAAACCAAGAGGTGGCACAGAAAGCAAATTTCAGTTTTATCTTCTGCAGCAATCAGAGTCATATGCATACATGTATATCAACAGGAAACTGGTAAATAATTGACATGCCAAGGAGAAGTAGAGTTATTCTGTTTACTTGATTATCCCTGGACCTTAAAGATAAAAATCTTTGGAGTTCCATCTCTTCATGCCCATTTTTAACATGCTTGGAGAAGAATTGGTAATTTAGTCCCTAAAGTACAATTCAACTCTTAAAGGGGCACATGTGCTTTTCCCAAGGGCCTTCCTGGGTTGTTTCCACACTCTCCAAATAATCATGTTGTGGGCTGCTCCATGGAGTGAAAGGAGAGCTGGAGAAATCAAGAGGGGCAACACAAATAACCAAAGGGGAAAAACAATGCAGTTGAGGCTGCAAAAAAGGTACACCTCTCTAAATGTCAATATTTTTTGTTTTCTAGCTCCATTGCTGGTGAAAAAACCAAACCAAACCAAACAAAATAACCAAACACAAAAAACCCCAAAAAACAACCTAACTTACCACAGCTTCCACTAGGATAACAAGCAAATAAAATTTCAACTGTCCCAAAGGTCAATCCTTCAGTCTTCCCTACTCCTTTAGCTGCCCATGATTTTCAATGTGCTCTTATTTTTCAGCATCTTGGTGCAAAAATAAATCATATGCCTGGGTGCATCAATGCTCCTTCATTTACTTTTTACCAAACCACTAAAGACAAAAAAAAAAAACCCAGCACGTTGCTGAATTTTCGTTTTTTCCCCTTCCACTAGGATAACAAGCAAATAAAATTTCAACTGTCCCAAAGGTCAATCCTTCAGTCTTCCCTACTCCTTTAGCTGCCCATGATTTTCAATGTGCTCTTATTTTTCAGCATCTTGGTGGAAAAATAAATCGTATGCCTGGGTGCATCAATGCTCTTTCATTTACTTTTTACCAAACCACTAAAGTTAAAAAAAAAAAAACCCAGCATGTTGCTGAATTTTAGTTTTTTCCCCCTCATAACCCAACCTAAGCTGTGCTTTTAAGGAAATACAGGCACATGGCCATTTCCTGGGATGTGTAGCTGGCTGACAGACCCTCAGTGCCAACCACTCATTATTGTTAGGACAGTCTCAGAACAGGCAGAGAAAAATGCTTTACAAAGCTCTTAAAATGTTTAAAATCCACCATTTGCTGTGGAGAGCTTCCCTTTATATCTCACCTCTAGCTGCACTGCTGTTGCCCATAATCAAAAGAGAAAAACCCCTTGCATCAGTGTTAGAATAGTAAAGTAAAAAGCAAGTCTTTATCTGGAGGCTTCCAGGCGTTCCAGTGGTGATGTGCACACCCAGAATCAAATTCCTATGATTTCATAAGGTTAATTAATCAGGTTAATTTAACAGGTACATCCAATAGGAGATTCAGCTGCCCCAGTAACCCACCCCTGAGTCAGCCCCTCGAAGCTGGTCCAAGGGGTGGTGATGTGCACACCCAGAATCAAATTCCTATGATTTCATAAGGTTAATTAATTAGGATATTTAACTGGTACATCCAATAGGAGATTCAGCTGCCTCAGTAACCTGAGTCAGCCCCTCGAAGTTGGTCCAAGGTTTTCTCTGTCCTACTTCTTATTGTAGATCCCCTATTTGGAATAAAGATTATTTACTAATCTAAACCGTATTTCAAGGATATGTTCCAAAATCTAGGGGGAAAGAGCAGGAC